AAAAAAACTCCGCAAGATATCACATAATTGATAGGATTTAGAAAGATTCCTAATAGCAAATTAATATCTTGTACGCTTTTTCAATCTCGCCGGTTGATTTAGCAATAGAAAAATAGAAAATAAGAATTATTGGGGCGTATATATTATATATATATCGGCAATTTTAGTATTTTAGTATAATTTAGTATAGATGACTATAGAGGATAAGGTTCCGTTGGAACAAGTTTTTAATTCAATTCAAAATTCCTCGTTAATTTTTTTCTTCAACAGAATCTAAAATGGGGGGATCTATTTAAATGACAAAAAGATATTGGAACATCAATTTAGAAGAAATGATGCAGGCTGGAGTTCATTTGGGTCATGGTACTAGGAAATGGAATCCTAAAATGGCACCTTTTATTTTTACAAAGCGTAAAGATATTCATATTATAAATCTGATCGTAACTGCTCGTTTTTTATCGGAAGCTTGTGATTTGGTTTTTGATGCAGCAAGTAGAGGATTTTTTTTTTTAATTGTGGGTACTAACAATAAAGCAGCTAATTTAGTAGCCCGAGCTTCCATAAAGGCCCGATGTCATTATGTTAATAAAAAATGGCTTGCCGGTATGTTAACGAATTGGTCCACCACAGAAACAAGACTTCAGAAGTTTAGGGACTTGAGAATGGAACAAAAAAAGGGGGGTTCCATCATCTTCCAAAAAGAGATGCAACTGTGCTCAAAAGACAATTAGCTCGTTTCCAAAAATATCTGGGTGGAATTCAATATATGACAGGCTTACCCGATATTGTAATCATTATTGATCAGCACAAAGAATATATAGCCTTGCGAGAATGTATAACTTTAGGAATTCCAACAATTTGTTTAATCGATACTAATTGCGACCCCAATCTATCAGACATTTCAATTCCAGCAAATGATGACGCTATCTCTTCAATTCGATTGATTCTTAACAAATTAATATTTGCAATTTGTGAGGGCCGTTTTAGCTATATAAAAAATTCTTGATAAAGAAATTAAAAAATAACTAATAAAAAACTTACTTCAAAAATAACATAGATTCCTTTCATAAGTTAGATTTTTTGATTTGTTTCTATTATTCTATTAAAAAGGACAAGATCCAATTCAATTAGACAAATAGATTTTGGCATTAAAATAATTAAGGGGGTAATATGAATCTTTTTTTTTTCTAGCAATTACCCCATGGGGTTATACGAGATATCTGGTGTAGAAGTGGGTCAACATTTATATTGGCAAATAGGGAATTTCCAAGTACACGGCCAAGTACTTATCACTTCTTGGGTTGTAATTGGTATCTTAGTTGGTTCTGCTACTCTAGCTGTTCGCAACCCACAAATCATTCCTAATGGGGGTCAGAATTTATTTGAATATGTTCTTGAATTCATTCGAGATGTGAGTAAAACTCAAATTGGAGAAGAGTATGGCCCTTGGGTTCCTTTTATTGGTACGATGTTTTTATTTATTTTTGTTTCTAATTGGTCCGGGGCTCTTTTACCTTGGAAACTACTTAGATTACCTCATGGGGAGTTAGCCGCACCCACGAATGATATAAATACTACTGTGGCTTTGGCTTTAATTACGTCAGCGGCATACTTCTATGCGGGTATTTCAAAAAAAGGATTAGGTTATTTCGATAAATATATAAAACCGACTCCGATCCTTTTACCGATTAACATCTTAGAAGATTTTACAAAGCCTTTATCACTTAGTTTTAGGCTTTTCGGTAATATTTTAGCTGATGAATTAGTAGTTGTTGTTCTTGTTTCTTTAGTCCCTTCAGCAATTCCGATACCCGTCATGCTTCTTGGATTATTTACAAGTGGTATTCAAGCTCTTATTTTTGCAACCCTAGCCGCGGCGTATATAGGTGAATCCATAGGGGATCATCATTAATATTAATTACTTTGAAAATGGATAAAATGAACTAATGGCTAATGAGGGCCTAATTGATTCATTATATCATTAACGATTTCTTTTTTTGTTACGTTTTGTTACGAGGAATTACTAATGAATCCACTTATTTCTGCTGCTTCCGTTATTGCTGCTGGCTTGGCCGTAGGACTTGCTTCTATTGGACCCGGAATTGGTCAAGGGACCGCCGCGGGTCAAGCTGTAGAGGGGATCGTGAGACAGCCTGAGGCGGAGGGAAAAATCCGGGGCACTCTATTGCTTAGTCTAGCTTTTATGGAAGCTTTAACAATTTATGGATTGGTTGTTGCATTAGCACTTTTATTTGCGAATCCTTTTGTTTAATTTAGAATGGTAAGACTAATAAAGAGACTATTGAGGCTTCTTTTTTTCAAATTCTATTAAAAAAGCCTCTTGGGATTACTTTATTGGTTGAGAAAAAAACCTTATGATACACACGAAATAATAATACTTATTCTATTTTAATTGCTTTCATCCTTTTCACTGGTAGTTTACTCGTAGTTTAAGGTTACTTTTTTTAGTGAGGCTTAGTAGATCCGCAAAATACACTAAAATAGAATGTGTATTTAATCTTTTTTAATATTTAATTAAGAAGTTCTAAAGATTTATTTATTATTTATTTCATAAATTGAATAAAATAGAAATAAAAAACAAAGTGAAGTAAAGAGTGTTGTTTTATTTTAGTCTATACTATAAAAGAGGAGAATTTATGAAAAGCGTAACCGATTCTTTCCTTTCTTTGGGCCACTGGTCATCTGTTGGGAGTTTCGGGTGGAATACCGATATTTTAGCAACAAATCTAATAAATCTAAGTGTAGTTCTTGGAGTATTGGTCTTTTTTGGAAAGGGAGTGTGTGCGAGTTGTTTATTTCAGGAATAGGCTGGACTAACCAGCTGTACTCTTACTCTTTATTTTTATGAAAACTCGGAGAAAGAGGTGCATTATCTCGCGAATTACTTCTGAATAAATAAATTCTCTGTAAGAACCATAGCATTTCGTCATTTACTGGTAAATCAACTTTGATTCTCTCTCACCCAAGACTATGATACTATGAACATGGTTAAAAAAATCATTTGAAGTCAAGGCACTATATGGTACTCTTTCTATCACTATGTTCATTATAGAGATATTTTCAAAAATAATATTTGATCAATAGAGGATGCTCATATTGATTAAACTAAAGGAACCCCTTAATTTTTATTTTTTAATTTTTCACAAAGAAGGGAAATTTCCCCTGTTTATCCAAATCCAATGCTAAATTGACGGCCTGTGTTTATAAATAAGTAATAAAATCTTTTGAAAAAAAAATAACTTTGCTGACAATTACCGATTTTTTGGTTGTTTTGTTAGAAGAGTCCTCATCTGTTTGGAATATTAACAAAGATAAAGAAGAAGGAAGAGAGGATAAGCTCAATGGAGTAATAAAGAACCAAAAAAACATATCATAATTCTTATGAAGTTTGATTTGAAGGAATTGAGCTTGAGAGCCAAATGAATTGAAAGATTCATGTTTGGTTCGGGAAGGGGTTTTTCTGTTTTGAAATCAAAGCAAAAAAAAATCTACTTTCATTAAGTGATTTATTAGATAACCGAAAAAATAGGATCTTAAATACTATTCAGAATTCAGAAGAACTGCGTGGGAGGTCTATTGAAAAACTAGAAAAAGCCCAAGCTCATTTATCTAAAGTAGAAAGGCAAGCCGAGGAGTTTCGACTGAATGGATACTCTGAAATAAAACGAGAAAATTTGAATTTGCTTAATTCAACTTCTAATATTTTAGAACAATTTGAAAATGATAAAAATGAAACTATTCTATTTGAACAGGAAAGAGCTATTCATCAAGTAAAACAACAAGTTTTCCAACAAGCCTTACAAAGAGCTCTAGAAACTCTGACTTGTTGTTTGAACACCGAGTTGCATTTACGTACTATTAGTACCAATATCCGCATGTTGAGCACACTTCAAGAAATAAAAGATTAGTCTTTAATTTTCTAGCGGAGGTATTATTTTTTTTATAAGAATAATTTAAGAACGAATCATGGGAACGATCCAAGCCGATGAAATTAGGAATATTATTCGTGAGCGTATTGAAAAATATAATAGAGAGATAAAGATTGTCAATACTGGTACCGTCCTTCAAGTAGGCGATGGCATTATTCGTATTCATGGTCTTGGTGAAGTAATGGCAGGGGAATTAGTAGAATTTTAAGAGGGTACAATTGGCATTGCTCTCAATTTAGAATCCACCAATGTTGGTGTTGTATTAATGGGTGACGGATTGATGATACAAGAAGGAAGTTCTGTAAAATCAACAGGAAGAATTGCTCATATACCAGTGGGTGAAGCCTATTTGGGTCGTGTTATAAATGCCCTGTCAAATCCTATTGATGGGAGGGGCGAAATTTCACCTTCTGGATTTAGATTAATTGAATCCCCCGCTCCAGGGATTATTTCGCGTCGTTCCATATATGAGCCTCTTCAAACTGGACTCATTGCTATCGATTCAATGATCCCTATAGGCCGTGGTCTCTTTTACATAGCCCCTTAGCGGATTTGAACCGATGACTTACGCCTTACCATGGTGTTACTCTACCACTGAGTTAAAGGGGCGTATTCTATTGAATTCCTAATATATTGATAAAATCCAGAAAAGATACTCCAGTTCTCTTATATATCTCTGGATTTTAGCTAGTCTATTTATATGAAATTTCTTATTAGAAGAATATTAATTTCATTGTGGATGGAGCATATTTTAAAAATTTATCCAAAAATAGGAAAATACTAGATTTCAAATTCGGGTTTTAATCAAAGATTGCTGAATGGGAAATCAAAAAATTGAAAAACATAACTGATTAGAAAGGGAAAGATCTGTTAGAATATTTAAATCTTTTACATCTATTGACAATTTAAAAAAAGGTTCCTACTATCACATCATAGTATGAGGTTGGTTGGACAAGCGGGCCCCCATCGTCTAGTGGTTTAGGACATCTCTCTTTCAAGGAGGCAGCGGGGATTCGAATTCCCCTGGGGGTAGGGTACTTTGAAAGGAAGCTTATAATGAATTAATAATGTTTTAATGGATTAATTACAAAATTGAGTAGTAATTTGAGTTTTCCTGGGTCGATGCCCGAGTGGTTAATGGGGACGGACTGTAAATTCGTTGACAATATGTCTACGCTGGTTCAAATCCAGCTCGGCCCAATCATTCGCAAATCCAAATAAGAAAAAAGAACCTGACCTTGAAAAATATCTCAGAAGTATATCTGATAGATAGAAAAATAAAAATTTTGACTGGATTCCTTAGTTGATTGACGGGGATTGTAGTTCAATTGGTCAGAGCACCGCCCTGTCAAGGCGGAAGCTGCGGGTTCGAGCCCCGTCAGTCCTGATGGATCCAAAGAAGAAAGAAATAAGGTTACTGCTTCTCATTTTTATCTTGAAGTTTTATATGGGATTAAATCCCAAGTTATTGCGAAGTAAAAAAACAACGAGATTATGGAAGTCAATATTCTTGCATTTATTGCTACGGCCCTATTGATTTTAGTTCCTACCGCCCTTCTACTTATCATTTACGTAAAAACCGTCAGTAAAAATAATTAATTAGTATTTCATCTATTTTGAAATAAAATTATCTCCTGGGTTAGATCATTAGATTATCTTATCAAAATAAATTCTATTACAAATTTTTGATGGTTTTAATTAAAAAAAAAGAACTGGTTCAAATTAGAAATAAAGCACGAGACTCATAAAATACTCATAGAATAGACTAATAGTAATAGATAATATGTTAAGAAAGTACAAAATAAAGGAAGTATCCTAAATTAATCCATAGATGATTCCCTTTTTTTAACCCACACTATCTATTAACTATTAGCCTTCTTTTTGTTTGAATAATATGTTTTATTTAAAGATTGAAAGAGCAGAGTGGGTTATTCACATGTTCTGAAACATTTTATAAAAAAATGAATAAATTTTTATTTACGCAAAACTCAATTTAGTAGAACCTCTATAGTCCACTCCTTCCCCATACTACTAGTGAAAGAGAAAAAGTAAAAACTACCATTAAAGCAGCCCAAGCAAGACTTATTATATCCATATTCATTATGCCTCCTATCATTATAACTAGTTATCATTATAACTAGTTTATTTTTACTAAGTTCCTCATCAATTATAAGAAATTAATAAGAATAATGGAATCCCCCGCGTAGAGTACACATAAAAAATGAAAAAAGGATTACGGAAGATGACCTAAAAAGAAAATGCAAAATATGCGAAACCACAAAAGGATCTGGCGTTATTTTCCTAATTTCAGAAAAATAGCAATCAATATACAAAAATATAAAAATCGCTAATTCTCATTGCGATCTAATCTGGCATCCTCCATATGATAATATAGGAGCATAGGAGCTAGGAAAGAACGGGATAGAGGTTCTTCTGTTTACGAAAAAAAATACGAAAAAAAGGATTTAAATAGAATAAATTCAAATTAGTAGTATGCGGAATTTTTATTTTCCTTTATAGGAATCCTATGAACAATAAGATATTTGAAATTCTTTATAGATCCATAGATCAGGCGACACCCGGATTTGAACTGGGGAAAAAAGGATTTGCAGTCCCTTGCCTTACCACTCGGCCATGTCGCCAAAAGGATACAAAAAAATTGGGGAACGACTTTTTTGATTGTACTTGTTTCTTTCTTTTCTACTAAAAAAAGACTGAGTTTATTCCACTTTTTTTTTATTTTATTTGAGCCATTAAAGATTATATTGAAAAGTCAGATGAAAGTGGGAACCTTTAAGCGTATCAATTTAACTACGAGTATACGAAAGCATCTTTTATTTGAATAAAAATCTTTATTTCTAAGATACTAAAATAAATATTTTCAAATTATTTATTTAATGATCTATGAAATTCTTAAATCTGTTTTATAGTTCAGATATGGAGTTTGATACAATTTAATGTGATTCAGTAAAAACAATATAAAATCAATAATAAAGAAAATAAAAAGGAATTACAAAAAAAAAATGCTTGTAGATGGAAAAAAGGACGGAGTTACTACAATCCCTGGATTGAATCAGATACAATTTGAAGGATTTTGTAGGTTTATTGATCAAGGTTTAATCGAAGAACTTTCTAAGTTTCAAAAAATTGAAGATCTCGATCAAGAAATTCAGTTTCATTTATTTGTGGAAACATCTCAATTGGTAGAACCATTGATCAAGGAAAGAGATGCTGTGTATGACTCACTCACATATTCTTCTGAATTCTATGTATTGGCAGGATTAATTTGGAAAGCATGTAAGGATCAATCTACACGTATGCAAGAACAAATCATTTTTCTTGGCAGCATTCCTCTAATGAATTCCCTGGGAAGTTTTATAGTAAATGGAATCTATAGAATTGTGATCAATCAAATACTACAAAGCCCTGGCATTTATTACCGGTCAGAATTGGACCATAACGGGATTTCGGTTTATACCGGCACAATAATATCAGATTGGGGAGGAAGATCAGAATTAGAAATTGATAGAAAAGCAAGAATATGGGCTCGTGTGAGTAGGAAAAAAAAATATCGATTTTAGTGCTATCATCAGCTATGGGATTAGATCTAAGAGAAATTACCCGTTCTTCCATCAAATATTCTACTTTTTCTTGGGTACTCGGGTTCAAATGCCCATGGATGCGCTGTTTTTTTACTGGCTTCATGTAATTGAGAAAATACGATTTTTCTCGAAGCTTCTTGTTCGTATCTCTCATCAAAAGGTGCGATTCTATAATGTCTATTTAGCAAACTCCCTGCTAGCCCCAGTGAACATTCGAAAATCTGTCCTACATTCATTCTTGAAGGTACTCCTAATGGGTTAAATACCAGATCAACTGCTCTTCCATCTTGTAAATAGGGCATATCTTGTCTAGACAAAATTTTTGAAATGATACCCTTATTTCCGTGCCTTCCAGCTATTTTATCGCCCACTTTTATTTCACGTTTCTGTAAAACATATACCTGAATCTTTTCCGGATTAGAATTGTAAACCCCTTTCTTCTGTATCCACCTTACATCAATAACCCGACCCCTCCCACCTATAGGGACTTTGAGACAAGTTTCTTTTGACGTAGATACCTGAATACCAAGTATGGCTCGTAATAATCTATCTTCCGGTGCATACGACGATTCTTTCACCACGTGAGGTGTTAATTTACCTACTAAAACATCCCCCGGCTGTACCCAAGATCCCTGCATTATAATTCCATTTATATCTAAATTGCGAATTAAATGGGCTTCTAAATGAGGTATCTCTTTAGTGACTTGTTCAGGGCCTTGGCTTGTCACATGAGTTTGAATTTCAAATTTCCTTATGTGTAAAGAAGTATAAATATCTTCATATACCAAGCGTTCGCTAATGAGCACTGCATCCTCAAAATTATAACCCTCCCACGGCATATAAGCTACCAATAAAGTTTTCCCGAGAGCAAGTTCGCCTTCAACCGTAGCAGCACCTCCCAACTTGCATCCGAGACTAAAAATTAGAACATAATTACTAATCAGAAATTACGGTATTCGACTTGGTGCTACACAAATGAAAGTAAAAATAACATACAAAGTAAAGTAGTAAGTATTTACCATAGGAATAATCCATTTCACTCTTCCCTTTCTTGAGTTGAGCCTACGGCTTGCCTCCATTGCACTATGTAATTTATAATATTAAATATATATATATATAATAATAAATTATTTATGTAATTAAGATATACAATATATATTTAAAAATTAAATAAAACGGAATGTACAAAATACTTACGCATCAATAATACTTACGTTTGCACCTCTTTTACAGAATTGCCTACTCCTCGAATGGTGTGTGGATCAATGAATCCATACAGAATGACCAATATTTCTGGATATGCACAAGCGGTGTAGATACCTAACACAAAAATATTCAAGTAAATAAAATGCTATTTTAACTAATTCTCTAAAACTACCAAAACCCATGGATGGTTTTCTGCAAATGAGCTTCATGCTCTAACATTCTCCTAAGTGTAGCCTCCTTTGACTTGTGAAACATTCTTGGTCCTATAAAAGAAAGATAGAGAAGACAGTTAGGAAATGCATTATAAAACCTCAAGAAAGTGGCAAGAGCTTACCAAATGGAATGTCAAGGGGCTCCCTAGAATCAACACCGGATGAGCTTAAACTTGTTGATGACTTTCCCATATCCAGATGGTGCAGTTTTTGCCTTCTAATATTTTACAATTATAAAATGAAGCAATTTTAATCCCAGTGAGAGAGAAATCACACAGACATTACAATTTAGAGGCGGTAGGTGAGTTTTTTACAAGTACCTATTCTTGTCGGAGGTTTTTCCCATTTCCTTGTAGGGTTTAACAAGAACACGAGAGTCACACACAAAATGAAGGGTTTCCTTTGGCTAAGATTAGCTTCATAGTGTCCGCATAGACAAATGTAACAAAACCAAACATCCGCTTCTGCTGAAATAGAATTCTAACATCTTGCACTGGCCCATACATACACAGTATATATAATTTTAATACAGTATATATAATTTTATAAACACAACAATCAATCGTTACCTAAAGTAGCTAGAGACATCCTCTTCAGTGAATGTGCTATCAGCTAGAAATGTCAAGTAAATCTGACAAGAACTTGGATTTGAGTACCCATCAGAATTGCCTCCCAAGAGATCACTGATCACCGGTCCCGACCTGAAATTCAGAAAAAAACAGCTGTGAGGCCAATGCAAGGCTTTCTGTTTCAAATTTGATGGTTAATTCACAAGGAGTTCCATGGTGTCTGCTTTGCATCCTTTTTTCTGCAGCAGTTGGTTGAGTATCAAATACTGGCTCAACAGCTCCAAGAGGTGAAGTCCTCACTGCAGCATTATTTGGTTGAGCTCCAGCAGTAGTCACAACCTGCGTAACCAGTAGTGTTGCAGCAGGTGCAGCAGGTTTGCTAGGCAAATCAATAGCAGGTGATGCAGTTCCTGGGTTATTGGGAGAAACCTTACTCAAAGTTTCTGCCCGTGGAGTAACCTGCTTGACATTAGGCATTTGAGCAGGTTGTCCAGGTCCTGGAGTTAGCTCTTTCACTCAAGGGTTGCTTTCAGAAATTGTTAGCTCAGTCACTTACTCCCCAGACGGCTTAAGCAAAGAATCAGTCCCCTGCATCAAGGCTCTTCCTGCACCATTAGCTTTAGACTTTGAGAGTCCATTAGTTTTTGCCTTCACAGCAGTAGCATCAGTCGGAGGCATCTCTGACAGTTTCATGAAGTTTACATTGCTCAAAGTAGGGAAATCATCATATGACTCTTCCAGAACAAAGAATCTGGATGAAGAGCGTGTTTTTCGAGACCCTTGTTTATTTGTCGCCATAGTAGCATAAACTGCAGTCTAAAACAATTGCAGGTGAAGTCCAAACCAGAACACACTATAAGCTATTCGTCGATGTAGCAGTAGTCAGGTCCGTCAACAAGACTCAGTCGCAGGTGACTCCCACTTCTTGCCGCGACCTAAAAACCATCCCCACCATCAACGAGTAAGTCACCGAGCTTCGTCCTGGCAGGGCGAGTCCCACACAAGTCTCAAAAACCAGAGAAACTCCCCAAATTCAAAGAATCGACCTCAAATTACAAACAACATGAACAGTACGAAAACTTCATTTGTTGCGTTTCTGGTCCCAAATCATCATTCCAAGCTCAAATCGAAGGTCGAAAGTGAGATTAGAACTAGATTCTGATTACAAACATAGCATATACAAGGATTAAAACAGCAAGACGGATGATTCTCAAACACAAAAGAGCCTACATTATTACATGGAATGATAAACATAGATTTTATCCAAAAAAAAGAAATGGAAAAAAAGTCAAACATTTTAAGGTTTACTGATTGCAATGTGATGATCAAATAAATAAAAAGAAATTGTTAATTAATTGCTATATATGCTAAAGAACATACATGCCAACATATAAAAACTCATAATAAAAAATGAGGGTAAAAATATTCAGCTCCCCAGCCAACTTCCCTAGTATTATATCACACTGTGCAACACACATAAAGAGTGAGAATCGGATAAAGTTTACCTATGAGATATAGTCATCGTCAGAAGCGTCTTCTGAGATCTCAGTTCAGAAATATCTTCTTCATTCTAAAATCCAAAAACAAAAATCTTTAGTACCATCTATCTGTTCATCACACCAAAAGAATGAAAAAAACTTGTTCATCTTCACTAAGCATTACAAATAGAACAAATGCTTCTCACCATTTTATTATAAGCTTCCCTCGAATTAAGTAGCTCTGCAAATTCTCTGACTATTCTTGCATCCTCATTTTCTGCAAACTAATATCCGTGTTAGTTTCAGCATCATTGCACAACACAAAGAAACACAAAAACAACTTACAGTTTCATCTTAAAAGGTCAACTTTACAAGAGAACTTTCCCAAAACCTTACTCCGTATATGTTAGTAATGTATTTTTAATTTTTTACACTTCATATTTATTCGTTCTGGGATGACTTAACATTTCTTCCTCCATCCCTCAAAAAGAAAAAAAAGTGCTGCCAAGTGCCAACCCAAAAAGGGTCTTATTAGAGTTATTTCAACAAGTGGAGTTAAATTTTTCAAAGAAACAACAGTAATATCCTAAAAAGAGTCTCGGTTCTTGATCATCAATTAAGGTATAGTAAACCAATTTGAACAAACATACGTACGATTAAATATGGAGATATTGAGGTTGTTGTGAGTGCTCTAGCCAATAGAAACACTCAAACACCAAAAGAATAATACACTTAAATCTAGCAGACACCAAAAGAATAATACACCAAAAGAACATACATGCTAGAGCTATTGCAAGCAACATCGATGCCAACTTTTTAGATTTAAGAATTTGGGAGTTACCGTAAATTGATGAAGATGATGACCTGCCCGCTACTCGTTGGAACGCCCGTCCGCCGTTCATTGGAACGCCCGTCCGCCGTCCGCCGTCTGCTTGAACGCCAGCCGCCCGTCCGCTGCTCTTCCTTCTTCGGTTGGTCTGTCTTGCGTCCGATAGGTCTAAATCGCTAGGTCTAAAATAGCAGAGATGAAATCAGGTTAAAATCAGGCTCATTTTTTTAACTAATCCAGATCGGGTACCCCGTTTTTCTTTTCACATCGGTTCTAAACATAACCGATTTAGAATATTTTCTAAAATTTTAAAAAGTACCCCGATTTGGTTTTTAACATGGGTTATAACAACAACCCATCTAAAAAACTTTATAAAAATTATAAAAATGACCCCGTGTTAGTATTCTACATGGGTTTTAAAATAACACATGTAGATAAGGTGATGTAAAATGGCTTTTTTGCACTAGTGGGACATCTCCGTAGCAGCCGAGTGGATCAAAAGATTCAACGAGGCGGCCCTCGACATGCAACTACCACCCCACATGAAGCTGAGAGTAGCCATGAGGCTACTAGAAGGCATGGCGTCCACATGGTGGGATGGAACAAAAGGGGAGTACGGCGAGGCCGTCACTTGGGAGAATTTCAGACAGGAGTTCTTCAGCCAATACTACTCCGACTTCGAGGTGAACTTGAAGAGGAGGGAGTACACGAATTTGACCCAAGGAGGTGAATGTACGGTGAAGGAACTTGAGAACAAATTCAGAAAGCTTGCTGAGTTCATACCGGAGTACATTTGTGATGAAAACCGGATGGTGAACCACTTCTGGGATGCCTTGGACCTTGACATACGCGAGAGGGCAACACATTTGCCTAATATGACGTTTAGTCAGGTGGTTGAACAAGGCTTGAAGGGGGAGAAAGAGTGGGAGGAAAGGAAATGAAGGAATCCCGAGGAGGCAAGGAAAAGAAAATTGGAGAACCATGGCCCTCAAGGTTCCAACAAGAAGGGGAACCATGGGGGAGGCGGATCCTTCAAAACCCCTGAACCACCGGCAAGGGGAAATCAAGGCCCGAGCGGGCAAAGCTCTGTGTCACAAGGCTCAGGCGTGAAGAAGTGCAGCAACTGCAAAAAGAACCACTTTGGCAAGTGCCGCGATCCCCCGAGGTGTTATTAATGCGGGGAGGTCGGGCATTTGAAGGTGAGTTGCCCACAGCTTGGGCGAGCCATGGGGGCCGGACCGAGTAGTGCAACGACGGTGAGCAGGAACCGAACCGGAGCACCAAATGTTAACGGTGGGCACGGTGAGGCGAGTGCAAGCAACGCGCCATCCGTAAATCAAGGAAGGACCCAAGCTCGGGTCTATGCTATGACGGAGGCGGATGCTCGTGCCAACCCGGACTCCGTTGCGGGTAATTCCTTAAACTCACGTATTAGTCTATTATAAACAATAGGAGTGCGGAACTTGTAAATTTATAATCCCGACGAGTTTGGTCGGGTTTGAAGGGAAAAAGGGGAGGAGAATCCTCGCCCTGGGCGAAAACCGCCCGGCTTTGACGAAAGCCGCCCGGCTTTCATCTTGATTTAATTGGGATAATACCACGACAATGAATGCCGGCCGGCTTCCACCGAGAACCGCCCGGCTTTCGTCAAGGTTAAATCAAAAAAATTCTCGCAACCAAAAACCGGCCGGCTTTTGTAAAGACCGGCCGGCTTTCGTAAATACCCCACCTGGAAAATTTCTCGCAGCTGAAAGCCGCCCGGCTTTCGTGAAAGCCGCCCGGATTTCGTTAGGCCTGGGGATTCCTGCGCTGCTGAAACCCGACCGGGTTTCGTAGAAACCGGCCGGCTTCGAAACCTTTCCCTGAATAAAAACTACGGCGACAAAAACCGCCCAGCTTTCGTAAAAGCCGCCCGGCTTTCGTGATTAAATACTGAGAATTTTTCTCGCAGTCGAAAACTGGCCGGCTTTCGTGAAAAGCAGCCGGCTTTCACCGGGGGTCGGTCCCAGAACGGTTCTAAGGGTCAGAAACCGGGAATTTTCGGACGGGTGTCAAACGGACCCCACCCGAACCACAACCAACATACTCTACGACTTAAGAAACAAGCCTATTAATTAGATAGTGTGTCTTACATTACTTATGAATGTAGGAACACTAAAGATAAACGGGAGAGACGCAAGGATCCTTATTGATACCGGGGCGCAACGATCATTTGTGATTGAGGCGTTCGCCAGCGGATTCAACGGACCACTTGTACCGATGACTCAAACCCTATTGGTCTCCACGCCTCTAGGGGATGATATCGAGAGAGATAGCCACTATCCATCGTGTGAGGTGGAGGTGCAGGGACAGAACTTGACGTGTGACTTTGTACCGCTGAGCATGATCGAGTTTGATGCAATCCTCGGGATGGATTGGCTTGAGAAACATCATGCTAGGGTCGATTGCTACACGAAGATTCTTGAACTCGAAGGCGGTGAAGGGTTGACCTTACGCTTCGAGGGGGATAGAGGCAAATGAAACAGTTGTATCATATCTGTCGTGAGGGCGAGGAATATGATGAGAAAGGGATGCCACGCGTACCTAGCGTATGTGGTGGACAAAACCAAAGAAGAGATAGACATCAATGATGTGAGAGTAGTGTGCAAGTATCCGGATGTCTTCACAAAAGACTTGCCGGGACTTCCACCCGATAGGGAGATTGAATTCGTGATCGAGGTTGAACCCGACACCAAACCAATCTCTATACCGCCATACAGAATGGCACCCGCTGAACTTAACGAGTTGAAAACCCAATTGCAAGAGCTATTGGATAACGGTTTCATAAGGCCGAGTCACTCTCCGTGGGGAGCACCGGTCCTTTTCGTGAAGAAGAAAGATGGAACACTTCGAATGTGTATTGACTATCGTCAACTGAACAAGGTCACAATCAAGAATAGGTATCCCTTGCCTAGGATTGATGACTTGTTTGATCAGCTCCGAGGAGCGACGGTGTTTTCGAAGATTGACTTAAGGTCGGGGTACCACCAACTGAAAATAAAGGAGGATGACATACCGAAGAGTGCATTCCGCACAAGGTATGGTCATTTTGAGTTCCTAGTTATGTCGTTCGGGCTAACCAACGCCCCAGCGGCATTTATCGACTTGATGAACCGGGTATTTCATAAATACTTGGACAGGTTTGTGATTGTGTTCATAGATGATATCTTGATTT